ACGAGCATCCTGACCTTCCCCGCCCCCCCGCCCGCTGCTGCTGCCAGGCAGCGGGGCTGCAGGCCATGAGGGGAGTGTGTGGGGTCCCTACACCTCCCACCCTCCCTCACACCCCACACACTCAAACCCTGCCCCGCTGAGTTCCACGTGCCTGCTGCCCCTCTGGAGGGAAGAGTCCCCCCCAGCATGGAACAGAGCCTCCCCCTGCCCTGTGGGGGTGAAGAGTGGAGGGAAGAGCCCCCCTCTGGGGCTGGGCAGCATCCCCCCTCCCACCCCAGCAATGGGGGAAAGCAGGTAGAAGAGACCCCTCTGGGTCTAGGCACCCTGCCCCCACTCCACTGCAGGAGGGGGAGGAGGAGGGAGAAGAGCCTCCCCCCAGCACAGCACAGGGCCCACTCCTGGCCCCACAGTGGTGGGAGAGAGGAAGGAGGGAGACGAGTTCCCCTCTGGGGCTGGGCAGCCCTGTGTGCTGGGAAATCCCGCTGTAAGGTAGCTGCTGGGGCAGCCAGGGCCTAGCCATGACCCCCTTCCTCAGCTCAGCTTCCCTGTGAAAGGGAGGGCTGCTCTATTGCCCCGGGCTTCTGGCTTGAGCCACTAGGCATGTGCCAAACATCTATCCAGTTGCAAACTGGTTCACTCTCTGCAGGTTGGACTAACCTGCACAGACTGAATCAATTCAAGCTCAGGCTTTTTGAATATCTGTCCCTAGCCTAAATGGATTACAACAAGGGACAAACGAAGATAAACATTTTAAAGGCAAATGGAAGAGTTCCTTGTAAAACAAAAGTCCTTCGGGTTGGGTAAGTCAAGGCAGCTAGGCTTAAAAGCCTAGAAACCCTCCTCAGTGAGTGCATCTACACGAGATGTTTACTGCACAGTAGATTAATTAGCTGTGCAGTAAATGTTGTGCATCTACATATGTGTCCCTAATAGGCTAGAGTCAACTAATTTACTCTGCAGCAGGATAGTACTTGTATTGTGTATCGTGGAGTAAAAAACTCTGCAGCAGTATATGTATAGACACTGGAGGGGCTGGCTGGGGCACAGAGGTGTTTCAGTGTGAGGGCTGCCTGCTAACTAGCCCTTCACTGAAGCACACTCACGCTCCAGACAGCCCCCCTCCAGGAGCGTCTACATGTTCATTACTGTGTATTTTGTTTAGTACTTCCTTAATAAAGTACTAACTAAATGCGCAGTACCTGAAGTTACTGTGCAGTAGCACTGGTGCACAGTTATTTAGTGATGCTTACTGTGCAGTAGCCTAATAACACTGTGCAGTTGGCTATTAGTATGGTTTTTGCTGTGACACACTACTGTGCAGTGTTATTAAGCTAATGCACAGTAAATATCTCCTGTAGATGCACCCTGCAGCATGTTGAGCTGGGAATGCGGCTGGGCTGGCAGGCTGATCGCCTAGCTGAGGCTGTTCTGCCCTGGCTCAACATGCTGCAATCCTGGGCACACATGTAAATACATGCCCAGGAGCTATAAACTCTGGAGTTTAGTTTATTGCAGCACATTAATATGCATGTAGACAGACCCAGTGTGTATTTGCAGCATATATAAGTCCTGTTATCTGAGGTGATTTATTTTAATCAGATTCCTAGAAACAAGTCATATACTTAAAACAGTAAGATCTTTAAACACTCATAGTGTCAATAGAGGGGCTAGGGGTTGAATACACAATATTTGACGTATCCAATAACTATCTCAAATACAAGGAGGTTCTGCACCAAGGCCACCAATCTGCCATTAATTTAGCCAGTGTCACAGGCTTTTGCAGGTTCAGCAGGGTTTCATTGCACTTACCTTGAAACTTTCCTTTTTGGTTTAAAGGTTTGGTTTAATGCCTCTCTCTGTGTTTGGTATTTCATGGTCCTGTCACATGGTATGATGCCAATGTGAAGTGACTTCTAAATCATCATTTTCATATTTTTCTGACTATGAGGGTGGTCAAGCATTGGAACAGTTTACCTAGAGAGACTGTGGAATCTCTATCCTTCAAGGTTTTCCAAAAGCAGGTTAGACAGGCGATTGACTGGTATGGGTGAGTCAGGAATGACCCTGCCTTGAGCAGGAGACTGGACTAGATGACCATCTGAGCTCCTTTCCAGCCTGAATTTCCTCTGATCCTATGCAGGCAGTCCTTGGATTTACGACACAATTGATTCCTGAAAACCGTGACTTAAGTCGAAATGTTGTAACTCAGAACCACTTTTCCCATAGGAAACAATGTTATAAATGGGGGATTGGTTCCTGAACCAAGGCCCAATACCCTATTTTCACCAAAAATACCCCAGAATTTTGTACTCAGTCAATTATAGATGAATAATATAGCTACATTAATGTATTTATATCATAAATAGCAATCATATTGATTTGGAAGGACTTCTTTGAGGTGACTTTGAAGGGCTCTTGACTGGAGTCTTCTCGGGAGTCTTGGCTGCAGGTTTTTCTGGAATCTTGTCTGCTTTCTTAAAGAAAGTGTCCAAGCAAGTTTGGACAGATGTTCTCCAGGGAGATGAGTATGGCATCGCATTGGATCAAGCATTGTAAGTCAAAACTGATGTCATAAAGCTGAAACAGGGTGTCAATTTATAAACTTTGTAAGCATGAAACGTAACTTGAAACGTTATAAGTCAAGGACTGCCTGTATCCTCCTTTTAAACGTATTTTATTTTAACTTATCTTATATGTAAGGAGAGCATAAACCAAAGAGAGAATATGCAGTGGCATCCTACAAAGACCTAGACCTGGACATTACAAATCTATGTGCTGCATGCAGCAGAGAGAGCAAGACTGATGAATGACAACATGCCTGGACACAAGTAAGTTTTACAGTTCAAGGGGGTATCATTCTTTAGACTTATCCATGGAAAGGTGTATGGGGCATCAAATGATTTTTGCCTTTTTAATCCAGCAGTGGATTTTGCATCAATGTAGTCTGAGCACAGGACATAAATATGCAAAATAGCTCCAATTGCAGGAACCATCTTAAATAACTCCTCTCTTTGTCTCAAAAATCATCTTGGTTATTTTGTGAATCTGTAGCTGACCTCAATTAAGCTTTTAAATCTGTATATGAAAAAGGACCAAAACAAACAACCAAAAAATAAAGCACATGCAAAAAGGATCTTCTTTTATTAGGAGAAAAGAAATCACTGAGTCAATATAGGTCAAATTACTTTAAAATTAACAAGTCTGAAAAAATGTCATTACAGGGTTTTTTCACCAGCATTTTCATGGTTTGTAAGTACAGTATAGTTTGAATAAATCAGACTGTTTAATGATACTTCACAAATACCTTTGGTTAATTACCAAGTTCCAGGGCTGATCTTGCAAAGTCTCTATATGCAAATTTCAATGAGATCTCTGATCATACAGGGCCGGGCTGTCCAACAGCAGCTCAGGTGGCTACATGTGGCCTCTGAGGGGTTAATGTGCAGCCCCCAGGCTCTCACCCAGATGCCACTGCCTGCTGCCTGTATTGATCCAGCTGCAATAGCAGCCAGTCTCCAGGCTTCATTACTTTCCTCCAGAAGCACAGGAGCTGATGGTGAGTTTGGACCCCAGGGAAGGCAGGGCAAATCGTGCCTGCAGGGGCAGTGGTGGGGAGCACCCAAGTGGGTACACATTACCTCAGGGAGGATAGCTCTCATGCGAGTGCACATTGAACCAAGGTGACAGGGAATTGCACTCACACCAGGGTGCACTGCAGCTGGAGGGAAGGGAGGGTAACTATATGGTTCGTCTGGTGCAGCCTACACATCATTCAGCCCCCACTAGTCCAGCTCTCAGGGGCTTAGAAGTTGGACAGCCCTGATATAGAACATGTAGGAGTGGTCCTACCTTAATTATTGCTAACTTGAAACTCAAAAATGTTGACACTAGTGTGTGTGTGTGTGTGTGTGTGTGTGTGTGTGTGTGTGTGTGTGTGTGTGTGTGTGTGTGTGTGTGTGTGTGTGTGTGTGTGTGTGTGTGTGTGTGTGTGTGTGTGTGTGTGTGTGTGTGTGTGTGTGTGTGTGTGTGTGTGTGTGTGAGAGAGAGAGAGAGAGAGAAAGCAGATAAGGACACTACGATCACTCCACTGACACCACTGGCATGGCTTATTAGGACCTAAACCTGTAAGCCAGTGATTCTTAACCAAGGTGCTGACACAAGGTACCACAGCAATATTAGTGCTGTGCTGCAGAGTGCTGTAGAATATTAGCAGTGTTAGGTGTGCAAGCACTTACACAAGATTCATGAGATAAGTGAATCCCAGAAAGTTCACACAGGAATCCAGAGCATCAAAAAAATCCTGACCTGCATGGTCTTTCTGAGTTCTTTGCACCAAAAGAATTGCAAATTATTTTTCTGTGGTCAAAAACACTTAAGCGGAAGCTATAAGCTGGCATTATCTGTGGGGTGTCTTGAGTTGAATAAGCAGCACCTGGAGTCTAAAATGGTTGAGAACCACTTCTGTAAGCATGTGCTACCACACATTATACTTCTGACAATGACTTACTCATAGACTTTTGCAAAACTGAAACCGCAGCTTGTAAGGGCATTGATTATCTCTGCAGACCTGTTGTATTAGATCACCAGTGGCGATGCGTAGGGGGTGCATGGGGGGAGCGCTGGTGCCCCCCTGAAAGCACCAGCCAGGGAGTGGGAGTGCCAGATAAAGCACCGTGGCCACTTCTGGGAGCGCCATGGCCACTTCCCAGTCAGCACGATCCAGTTGGCGATATATTGACTGTGGGGGGAGCCCCCCCCCAGTCGCTGACTGGTTGCTGGGGGAGAGCATGTGCCCCCTGACTAAGGTGGCACCAGTCGCCCATGTAGATGACCCAGGGAGAATAACTTTTCCCCACAATCCTGAAATATCCTTCCCAAACTGTTGGATGTGACATGTTGTATTTTGCAGCTGATGTTTAGGATTATTTTTCTCTTTCCTCTCTGGTTTGCAGTGGGATGGTACCTGTACTGCTCTTTTAGAATTGCACACTTTCTGCCCAATCCTTCCTGGTTGTCTGTTGTAGACTGTTGCAAAACATTCCGTTGCAGAATGCTTTTTAAATTTCTAAAACTTCTTACTCAAGTTTGGGCAACATCTATACTGCAAATTTGAAGCCAGGCACAGATTAAAATCCTTGTTTTATAAAGGAAATGGAGATTTTTAAGGTGGAAGGTCGCCACTAAAATGCTGAGAGGAAGGTGAGAGTGTTCTACAGTACACTGGTATTCCTGTGGAATGATTGTTTGTTCCTGCCTCAGTTCACCTGTAGCTATTTCTTAATTATTTTTCCCTGTTGATTACATTTCTACAGACAGAAGTTTAAACTGTTTTCTTCCAGCAAAAAGTCTGGCACTAATATTGCACCATTGCTTTGCAAAAAAATGTTTTAGAGGACATATACTAACAGTGTCACTCTGGTTTTATCCCAGTTTACTTTTAAATGGTTAATGATGTCTGTCTTTGAGTTCACAGTCCTATTCCAGAAATACCTGTGGTTTAGCCTGATCACACTGCCAAAAGTAAACATAAAAAATAAGCTCAGGTGGCTCAGTAGGGATTAGATTTACCAGTTATGCAACAAGAGTACAGGTAACATCCCCTATATATACAGACAAAGAACACCCTGGGCCAAATCCTGTATTTATTGAAGATGATGGAATATTTCCCATTGACTTCACATGGAGCAGAATCATGTCTAGTTTTCTTAGAGAGAAAAAAACATGTTTCCCAGAGCCAGCATAAAAAATATGTATTTCTGCATGTGTATCTCTACCGGAATTTTTTGCTAAGTTCAAATCAGTTACAGCTAAGAAAACCATGGGACTGCCCTAATATCACATATAGTGCATAATTCTAAGAGAATACGCCTGCACAGGTATTAAGAGCCTAATCTGGCCTGCAAAACCTTGATGCAGGACAAAGACAGAAACTGGTTTGACTCATAGGGCATATGTTTCTTGGTGCTTCTGATAGCACTTCTGAAAACATGCCCTATCTACCTACTCCTGCTCGGCACCTATACCAGACTCAGAAATAAGGCAGGGAAGCTGCCTTAGGGCAGTCATTATTCTTGAGATCTCTGTCTCCAGAGTACTGATTCATGTGGCACAGGGCTTCATTGCCTTATTTCTGTGTTTGGTGTACATGGATCTGCAGTGGATTGGTGATGCTGTGCTCACTCAGGAGCATGGCAGAAGCAGTAGAGCCTATCTGGTGTGAGTAAGGATGAAAAAACTGAGGCTTTGCCCCCTTACTATCTCTTACTTTCTTTTTACCATAATGACAAATATCTTTCCTAAGTTTCCAGTCATAGGTAACTAATAAGAATCATGGTTTTAAATGTGACTTATCCTGATAACAATCACTATTATGCATTTTAATATAAAAAGAAACCTGAATAAGCTTTGGCTAAATCTGGTGGGTAGTAATATCATACAGAGTCATATGACATTCTTCTACCAACAGTTGTCAAATTTAATAACTTAAAGCACAGGCAGTTTCCCTGAGACTTCCAAGACAACTCAGTAAAAGTTGGGAATAAAATCTATAAACTTGGACTCCTATTCCTCTGCTTTTGAGACTACCTTTGGATTTTGTGTAAACCCTTCCCATAGTCAATCATTTTTTTTATGGGAGCAGAGGAAAATGAAGCAGAATACCAAGTAGAGTGAATTGTATCTGTTTGTAGAGATCCAGAACAAGGCCTATGGAACATTTGAATCCCCCTTGAATCTAATTTGTAAGTCAGAATTGATGTGTAGGCCATGTCCTGGTTCTCTCTGCACAGATGGATTTTTACCAGCATGTACAAAGTCTGTTTTAGGGATGCACTTTGAAAGCAACTTGCTCAAGATACAGTATCTAAAGTATTGTGCCAGTGGGTGCCAGATAGTTTTTTGTTCTTATATTTAGCATTTCTTGTTTCTACATCCAATTCCTAGGGAAAAGAGCGCAGATGTCTTGATTATTGTTACAACAAAATAAAATGTAACTGTGATTAAATAATTACCAAGTATGTTTTCAAATTGGAAAAATATTTAATGACTAAGCCCTGGAAGCATCTCTTCTTCTAAGCCTCCTAATCTCTGAAGGTTAAAAAAGCTAAATTTGTTATAGCTTCTCATTTTTGTCTACAGTTCAGTGCTGGGCTTTATTATTTTTTATCCCTTTCAAAGCTTTAAATCCCTACTGCATAACCTCCTCTGCTCTATTCACTGCTGAATGGATGCTGCACAGATCTTTTTATTGGTAGGCAATGGATTTGGTGTGATTGCTTGACACAAGAACAATAGAAGGATAAACAATTCCATTTGGGGCCATGAAATTCCCCATCTGTTGAGTGTGTTCATGTTTGGCGAGCACCAGGCAGAGACAGATGAGCAAGCCAGTCGAGCCTGATGTTAATGACATACATCAGTCATACAAGCAGAACATGTGGCACAATAAATCAAAAACTAATTGAACTTTTGGTTGATTATATTGCCATCCCACTGACCATTTTAAACACTCCAGTGTTTCCTGTAACAATAGGTCCCCTAATAGATTTGCTGACCTGAGACAGCAAGAAACTGCCCTTAGAGGTAACAAGTGATACCAGGTTCTCTGTCATCTGCTTATGAAACAGAGATGCCATTCATAAAGCTGAAATATTTCTTGGTTCAGGATTATAATTTGTTTGATATTGATTTTCTTTAAAATAAAAAAAGATTTGCGTTAAAATGACAGTGGCATTCCATATTTCTTTAGCACTTTTAAAGCTACGGAGCTTAATAATACTTGTTAACATTTCTGGTGGAGACTAGGTTTACTTTTGTGTAGATTACACACGTGTGCTGGTAATTAATGCCACTGAATGCTCAAGTCATAAGGGCAGTGCATAAGAGAGATCACTATTACATGACCCATTTGAGGTCTCTATCAGATCTACTTAAAGTGTTTCTAATATACCCAATGCTGTAGTGTCCAAACCAAAAGATTTTAAATAATGGCATCTAAATCAGCACTTAGGCATTTAGATGTTTGAAGTCCCATTGATTAGTATAAGAGCCACAGTTGCCCAGCAACTTTTGATACAGATTAAAAAGCCTCAATACTTCAAACCATTTTAACATCTTTTCTGACAAAAAATTGTCTAGTTGTCAAATAATACGTACCTGTGTATGAAATTTAGCAGACATAGAAAGCTGAAGAGCAATATACTTTTCTTACTATATGTTTCAACTGTTGGCTATGGGAAAAGAGATTTTTCCATTTATTAAAATGTAGAAGTATATTTAACATTAAACTTAGACACAAAAGAATGCCTAATAGCAGTTTTGTAAATAGCAGATCTCCTTGATAATTCACCAGCTGTGCCAAACAGATCCTTGCTACTTTCTTAGTCACTTTTATTTTAGAAGATTCTGCAAAACATGTAGTAGCTGAGACTCGTAAAATAAGATGTTTCTACCCTTATAGAGACTTAAGTAACAGCCAAGTTCAATCTTTCCATTAACAGAAGTCATACAAAGACAGATGGGAGCAGAAAATTTTGCAATGAAGAATATGGAATGAGATGAGATCACAGCATCAGTCTGTCCTTTGTAGATCTGGACAATGATCACAGAGCCAGATTGGATTAGTGAAACCTATTTACCAGAAGTTCAGAGCAGTTGCATGAAGCTGATAGGCAGTCAGTCGAGAGAAGTGGAAAATGCATCAGATTTACAGCTGCAGCGATGAAAATTTAGAAGTTTTCACCACTGTGATTTCATCCAAATGTGAGTACATGAAAGCCAGAGTAGCAGGCAACAATTCTTTTTAGATAGGATGTTTTGCCATTAGAGAAATTTTTCAAATAACACACTCACTCCTCTGTTTGTTCTGCCATACTGTGCTTGCAGTTCAGAGCTCTTTGGGCACTTTTGGAGTGATACATGCAGGTGCTTAGTGATACATGCAGGTGTTTAGGTATGGTAGCTTTGTGACGTATTTTCACAGGAAAAATGTGAGTTCTTGATTTTGTGTTTATATACCTAGAAGATGATCACTGATCTGCCAAGGTACAGCCAAGGTTCTTTGCTGTGAGACAGAAAATAAGATGCATTTAACTCTGTTGGATCATCAAAGGAGAATTTTGAAAACTATGTCCTGGGAATAAATATATGATTAACATTAATTACATCTGATGAAAGTAAAATATTGCATTTGATTGAACACATTACTTTAAACTCAGTAACTGCTTTTTCCAAAAGAAGTCATGCAAAAGCATAGAAAACTATGTGCAAGGGCAGATGTCATCTTTATTTCCAAGCTACAATAGTGAGTACTCAGCTGTTTTATTTTTCAGAGTATAAATGGAAGCACCAATGTGGACATCACTGTAAAGGTTTTCTTTTTAAATTCTGCAGACGACATGTATGTGTCCTTTATCAAGAAAATTCAGAAGCATCTTTCTACTTGAATTCAAAATCCCCACAAAAATGTTGAGCTGTTCTCTGCAATTTCACTGTTGCAATTGTATGCCTGTGTAAGTAGGTCACTATGGTGTACTCCAAGATTCACTTTTGCTTCAATAGCTATTTAAATAGCTGCATGTTTGCTGGCACTATGATTTCACTTTCAATGCCATTCCTTTCTGCAGCTCATGTAAGCTGCTCACTGTTTACCCTGGCAGATGACAGGCAATGATTTGACCTGTGTCACAAAATATGCAATATTTTTGTCATTAGCCACATTTGTAAGGTGCCCAGTGTGTTGTATGTGGGCATCATTCAGATAATTAAAATAACACAGTACTTCCTTAACAGCATACTACCCTGCACTGCACAGTAAGAGATTTGGTAAGCTCATGCTAGAGAGATATGTGGGCAACTTTTTTTATTGGTAAACTTTTCTGTGCTCATCTCTCATTAAAGGTTTTGCTTGTAGGACATAAGTGAATTTAGTTATCACTTCTCTGTGAAATCCTGTTTACTTTTCCCCATTGGAAATGGTGGTAATAACAGCTTCAAAATGAGTCATATCTTATTTGTGGAAAATCATCTTAATTCTTTTTGATCGCTTTTTGTCTCCCTCTTGCCTTATTCTTTCACAGCAAAAGATTGTGGTGATCCTTGCAAATTTCACTGTTCTTTTGAACATGATAAAACCGTTTAACTTAGTGCATATTATTTCAATGATGTTGTACACCCTTGTCTGTACAATGTGTTGTGAACTCTGGCAGTTAAGCATACTATTGTATTTTACACCTATGTGTAACTTCTTTTGTTTACTTGGTGGTACATTCTCTGTGTGGTGAGTTAACCAAGACCACACATTTTAGCAAGGCAGGAATGTAGTCATTACTGCTTAATCACAGAAGTCAAGGGACTTAGAATCTTATGTAGCCTCTGTTACTGTCTTATGAAACGTCACACAGGCCAAATATTTTGGACTTTGGGTTCCACTCCCTCATAAAGGCACCTAGAAAGCTGCCTAATTTTCAGTGGCAGTAATAACGCCTCTGAAAATCAGGTCATCTATGTAATCAACCTCTAAGCTACCTCCATGTAGGCATTGCAACACCTAAAATGTAGGCAGCTTGCCCTAGGACAGTCATCCAACTTGACAAGGCTAAGCACCAAACTATTCTCCAGGGTATTCTAGACCAGTGTGATTCTCAGGCTTTTTTGTACCAGGAACCATTTGTAAACATCGATGGCCAGCCCCAAACCAGTGCCCCTCACTCCCAACCCACTGCCCCCAGTCCCCAGCCCCCTAGTGTGTGGGGCAGGGTGGGGGCCAAGCAGCCCCTTGGCAGGCTGGAACACTGCCAGCCTGCAAGCCACAGTTTCCCACCTTTTCTCCTTTAAAAGAGAATTCATTTTTAAAGTTTGTTGATTGATTTTTAAATTTTGTTCATGACCCTTTCATATATCCTTCTGACCCACTTTTAGGTTGCGACTCATGAAATGCTGTTCTAGATCTCTCAGCTGGGAGGTACCCAGAGCTAGGCAGCAGGAAGTGCTTGGCAGAGAGGTGTGTCTAAACACCATGCTGCTAAGACTGTTTATGCATTTTAACTGTTAGACAGCCCTTCATTAAAAGCAGAAATAACTCCATTAGTGGGGACTGGAACCTAGGTCTCCCTCTCCCATAAGGCTACAGTCAGCCCCCCTCTTGCCTGCTCTCCTTCTGGTACCATGGTTGCTACACTCCTTTTTGCCTAGTGACCCAGCTTCAAGAGAAAGCCTACAGGTACTATCGCTTTTAGGCCTCAGTACAAAAGATGGGTAGCGCAGCCCCTGCCAGTCACCCATATATTAAGGCATAACTTTGGCACATATGCCTAGGCAGGAGCTTTGGGCTGTGAATCCCAGTCTCAAAGAAGCACCTGGCCAGGACTGCAGTTAAGGCTCAAACTGCTCACTAAGTCTAGCAGAGGGGTGGGATTCTAGCTACACACTCAGCTTCCCATCATCTAGCTCAGGGCATCCCCTGCTCAGCATGCTGTGTGTTGTACATGCCAGTCCTCATAGGTGGATCCAGGATTTAGACAAGGAAGGTGTGGCAGCAGAGGTTGTTGCTGCTCAGAGCATAAATAGAGAGGGAGTAGAAAGGAGGTGCCACTGAGCACAGAAGGAAAGGGAGGGGCACTAAGAAAGGGATGATATTCTTATCTGTGTTAGGGACTTAATAAAAGTCCCTGGCTGCTGCTCCCATAGCATGGGCCAGACTCCACAGTGGACCTTGGGTCCAGGGATGGGTGGAATCAGAGCTCCCAAATTACACTGTGGAAAGGGGAGTGCCACTGTGCCAGTACTCCCACTCTGAATCCCTTCCTGCCAGTCCTAACCATCTAAGCCAGAGGTTGTCAACCAGGGGTACATGTACCCCTGGGGGTACTTGGAAAGGCCCTAGGGGGTTTATGTGGGCAGGTGGGGACAGAGAGGCACAACCCACCACCCTGCACTGCCACCTCCCAGGAGCAGGGCTGGGGAGGTGAGGGCACCAGCACAGGCGCCGCTTGGGTGATTGGGTGCTGCCATCCACCACCCCATGCAGCTGCCACTCGGCATCCGGCCACGCGCCACTCCCTGCTCCATGTCTGGCCATGTGGCAGCCCCCTCCCTCCCCACTCTGTGTCTAGCTGCCAGGGGTGCACGTATTAAAAAAGGTTGAAAATCCCTGATCTAAGTTAATTTATTTCATATAAAAGGAACTTGGGTACCTAATATGGGTTTGTATATTCCTGTTAAGAGGAGATGAGTGAGTGGCCTTCATGCTATTTGATAATGCTATAAAGAAATCCAGAATCCAGCATTACGTGATTCATTCTTCATATTATACTGACGTTTGTTCCTACTTATGAACACTAATGTGGTGAGTCATCATTTCAATTTGACCAGAGCTCCAGCCTGCCTGGTTCAGCTTTCTCCTTGCATTCACTCCAGCCCCACCTAAAAATCTGGAACCAGATTCAGATGTGATTTGGGCCGACTTGAACATATTTTCTTTCATTATAATTAACTGACAAGTCAAAAATTATTTCTCTGCAAAGTTTGACTTGATTCAAAATAGAGTATTTTGCTTAGACGTCAATTGTTTTTAAAAAGGCTTTTTAAAAACACAAGAATAGAATTGGTGGGAATTTCTTGATAAAAACTAGTTGAAAGTGTCATGTTTGAAACATTAAAACAAAATGCCTTGACTTGTCAAATATTTTTGACATAAACATTTCCAGTAATAATGAGACAAAGTCATGAGATTTTGTTGCCAAACATGCATTTTTTGATGGAAAAAACTTCACTCACCTGTACCACAGACCTCTTTCAACTGGATGGGCTTACTAACCACCCTTCCTTCTGACTAAACGAAAGAAGCAATTAAGCTCCTTTCTGGACTGAGATAACTGAAACAATAAAAAACACTTCCCAAAGCACTGGCCAAGCAGGTCTGAATAAAAAATAATTTTGTAGGGAAAAAACAGAGGTCTTCCTAGGAACTGATGGAAAAAATGCATGGGTTGCAGCTCTGTGCATCTGTATGTGTCAGAGGTAGGAAGTGGAACAGGACAGTGAGAGGAGGACCGGTAGAATGGCCTTGAAAAGAAGCCGAGAGCATAGCTTCTATTGGATGGGGCGTTGGCTGGAAAGGTAGGTTTGGAATTGGGAACAGGGAAGTTCCTGCTATTGGTTGTTCCTACTTTGTTCAGAAAAACTAAACTCTGTGTCCATTCTTTATACATATATAGATAGGATTGTATGAAAGGAGTATGTGACTCATATAATCAAGTCCTCCTAACAATTCACTTCTAGATCCCAAATAGAGATTAACCACTCAGGCCAAAAAGGCAACAATATTTATATCTTCCTAATTGAGTAACAAATCAGTATCTGCCACTACAGCACCTCCATCACCTGAATCTGAATCACCATGACTCAAGCCCATCTCTCATTTTCATTAAAAAAAAAAAAAAAACCAACCCTAAGATGTTGGGCCTGAAACAAAGTACATTACTCAACTGCATTTTAGGTGTATAATGAAACCAGCTGAGTTTGACCATAAATTTTTCACACTGTTGTAGTGAAGATACTGACAACTTGTTGACTTTACAATATGATGGCGAAAGCAATCAAAAAGTCTGGCAGAAATGTTTTTACCAGGCAACGTTGCATGCTTTTATTTCCTAATAAAAAAAAGAGAGCAAACAGTTATGCCACATTCTGTGCAGTTGTCTTGAAAGCTCTCTTTCTATCAGTGGCATCTTGCTCTGCATAAAGTTATTGGAGGTTTTGAGAAAGACATCAAACCACTCTAAAATAACAAGCACTGTCAGCTATAACAGAAATTTTGCCCCCCTTCCTGTATTTCATGACAAAATGAATGTGTTCTGAAGTATGCTGCTGTTGAATTTGGCTTCTTTCTTCTTCATGCTGTGCACATACACTATTTTCAAGTGCATGCTTATATCACTCTCACAGCACCTCCAATGCCAGGCATTCCAAAATTATGAAACTGGCTTTAAAATAATGAAAGGGGCTTTTAAAACAATATAAAAATGTGGTTTCCTTTTATTTTGCCTTCTGGTTCCTGAACCTTTAAGGGGCACTGAGATATTAGACCTTTTCTTCTCAAACCTGAAGGCTAGAAATTCATATATTTTAAAGTGAAATGTTGGATTCCCATGTAATGACAGCATTGTGCAGGGCTTCAGGACAGTCACTGAATGCAACAAGACTGGTTATAAACCTATGAGAATTGGCAGCACTGATGCTCCTAATGTGCCAGCTACATTAGACAGAACACACTTCCAGGCTTGCCAGTGGTACGTTGGACCCACAGCTTTCTAGCAGGCTTTCAGTCAAACATGGAAGCTAAGCTGTCTCAGCTCTGCTGCAAAAAGGGTGAGGATCCAGCATAGGCATTAATATTAATTAATTAATAAGTGTTCACATTTTTATGATCTCAGGACATATTGCACCAAAGCAAAAATTGCCAGTTTCCATTGCAAGCCAACATAAGCATCCTAACAGACCATTTTAAATGTGCATCTGCACCTGAAGCTGTTGCTTCTGATGTCTGCTATAACTGCCCCATATCATGTTTCTGTTCTCTTTGCAGCATGCAGTCCAGCCAGAAGGAAAGCCAAAGGCACACAACGCATTCTAGCAAAGAGCGTAAGAAAAACAGCAATTTTTTTATTTATGCTGGCTTAGTTTGTCCTTGGAAATACCATGGATAATAGGAAGCAGATCTTTTAAGGCTGGGACTTGGAAAGTATATAGGGATGAAATGGTATCTGGAATTGGGAAAGAATTTCTGAAAAGTTGCAAGTGTTTGGCAAAAGGTTGTTTGAACTCTTCCAAATCATTGGTGCTTTATTTTTCCATTCACTATCAGTCCAAATGAACATAATGCACTACAATGAAATCAATTACTTCAGCACTTGCCAAAAAAAGATCTTCTGAAGCAATGTGCGGATCATTCACATGAATAAAAAAATAATAATCATGGCAGGCAGAGAGGCAGGCAAAGCAAACAAATCACCACATGAATACCTAGTAGATACAAGTATTAGAAATTGGTGCATTAAACTGATGTGCCAAAACAGACATGTAGACACTGACCTAGAGCAAATTGCTCCCAGTCAGCCTAGGCAAAAGGGGACAAGGAGAGCTGCCCCAGCTCAGCAGGATGCTGCCTGCCAACCACGTGGAGATCAGGACCTGTCTCAATCTCCGCAGGGCAGAGAGACCCGTCCGGACTGCTAAGCTGCTCTCCCCCACCCCGGAGAGATCAGAACCAGCCCCCATACCTCCTGCCAGCCCAGGACTGGCACCTGGGGGACCCTGGAGCTCCCCCTGGCTGCTGAAGAGGGACAAAGCAGGGCAGGAGCAGCCCGGGACTGAGTTGCTCCCGTTGGTCATGTCCAGACAAGCATGGCCATGCACTATGTGGCACCGCAAACACGCCTGCTGTGCCACATAGCACACATTTAGATGTTCTCTGTTCTGCAAGGGCACGTTGCCTGTGCATGTGTTGGTCCACTTCTTTTTCCCCTGGGTTTTTTAGACCCCAGTCAAAAAAACCTGTGGGGAAAAAAGAACGCAGCAGCCCAAACACAGGCAGTATGCACCACTCAAAAGTGGAGCCAGGCTGCCTAGAGCTGTGCTCTGGCTGCTGGCCAGGCACTGCGTGGAAAAACTGTCACTGCAGCAGCGCCAGGTGGCCCCTGTGGCGGGTGCAGAGATCCCACCTCAGGAACACAGCTGGGTATTCGTATCCCTCCGCTGTTTCCACCACGTGTGGCGGGCCAGTAGGGGGTGCTCCTG